AGTTCTCTGGGTTTTAATGTATAAATAATGATTATCATTTTTATTTTTGTCTATTGATCATGTGATTTATTTATATATTTTGTCATTTATTTAAACCAAAAAAAGGAGTTCTTGTTGTTTCAATACCAATTAATAATGAACGAAGCCAACGAGGTGCACTCGATGCAAGTTTTTTTTTTTTTAAATTATATACGTATATATATTTATATATATATCCATCGATTATGTAATCTTTTCCACCGTTTTTTAACATAAAAAATTTTATATAAATTCCATATTAACGGAAATTAAAATATAATAAATAACTTCCAGGACTCTAAACATACCTTTTCCATCTTCACAACTTGCAAATATTGCAGAAAAAGTCTTGAAGGTAGACAAAGAATTAAAAACAGAACAGGTAGAAAGAATAATTACAGTAGAAGAAGAAGTTAATTTAATTGTGTAAGTTTATCTTTATTAATTTTTCGAATTTTATTATTAATTATTAATTATTCTTTACTCTTTTTAATTTCCTTATTCTTTATTTTTTATTTTGAAAATAACAGAAAATTTAATTGTACAAATATAAAGATATTACGAATATCCGTTAATTCAATATTAGATATGATAATTATGATAATTAAAACTATGGATGCTTTTGATGAAACGGAATAATTGTTAATCTATTTATTTTATTAACCAAAAATCGACAGATTAAAAATAAAGTTTTAATTAAACACTTTTTACACACTATTTAATGCTCTATTTCATTACCAACTTTATTTTTTTTTTTAAGCATTATTTTACAATTATACTTTTCTTTATATGGTCGTACAGGGGATTCATAACCCACAAAACCTGTTACACGATGATTATAACGACAATCTTTCTTTCTCAAATTAGGAAAATTAGAAACCTATAAAAAAAACATGTTTGACTTTTTCTCGTCATAAAAATAAATAAATAAACCTAAAAAAAAAACCATAAATAGTGACAGTAAAATAACAATTATATTTGTATTCGTGAAATAATATAACTTTTACCTCAAAATTTAATTCTTTAATGGGAGTTGCAAACGGGAAATATGATGTTGACTTCAATGAAGAAGGTAAGTTAATTTGGTTAGTTATTTAATGGTATTAATATTTTTTATCTTTTTATCAAATAGTTGTTGTTAATACTGAATAAATATATAATTTCATAAATGAAAAGCCAACCTCTACCATTTTAGGTTATTACGCGTTGTTGGGAAAGGAGCATTTGGGAAGGTAATGATAAGTAATTTGATTATGAACAATTTTCATCAAATATCAAATATAATAATGTTTATTAACAGGTTATTATTAAATAATAGGTCAGAATTGTAGAACGAAAAGATAACAAACAACTTTTCGCATTAAAATATATTTCAAAGGATGAATGCATTAGAATGGATGCACTTCGGAATATACTTCGGGAGAGATCAATGTTGGAACAATTGGATCATCCATTGGTATGCAATCTTCGTTTTGCATTCCATGATGATGAATATATGTATATGGTTATGGATCTAATGTATGCTCAAAAATGAATTCTTCAATTGAAGAAAGTTGTTGTTGTCATTATTTTCGTTTTTTTTTTTTTAAAAAAAAAAAAAGATTTTGATTTTAATTAAGAAAATTATTATTTACATTATCTTTTAATAGGATGGGAGGAGATTTAAGGTTTCATTTGAATCGTAAAACATTTACGGAGGATGCAATTCGTTTTTGGATAGCCGAAATTTCATGCGCAATAAGATATTTACATTCCAAGGGAATAGTTCATAGGTATCTTTAATAATTACTTTAATATAATTTATATTACTTTTGATTATTTTTGATTATTTAGAATTATTTTGATTATTTTGGATCTTATGATAAAAAAAAAAAAAAAAAAAAGTAAGAAAAAAGAAGAAATAAATCAAATTACGATAATCAAATTATAAATTTAATTATATTTTTTTTATATATTTCTATCATTAAATCACAGAGATATTAAACCAGACAATATTCTTCTTGATGACAAAGGCCATACACATATAACTGATTTTAATATAGCAACACATGTAAGGATGGATAGACCACTAACATCTCATTCTGGAACATGTGCTTACATGGGTTAGTTTTAATAAATAGATTTATATTTATATTTAAATTATATTTATATTTATATTCGAATTATATTTATATTTATATTCATATTATATTTATATATTATATTTATAATTATTGTTTAGCTCCGGAAGTATTTAGAGGAGGTGGATATGGTCCCACTGTTGATTGGTGGTCCTTAGGAGTTTTATTTTACGAATGTATATATGGAAAGGTAAATAATAATTCTGACCCTTTGTTTTTATGAAATTGATTTTTTATGTGATATTTATAACACATATATTTATAATATTATTTTATTGGTTTATAAATAATACAGCGTCCTTTTGAATGTGACGTTCAAGAAGAATTAAAAAAGATGATTGTTAAAGCACCAATTAAATATCCTGATATGGATCCACCAGTCAGTCCTGCTTGTATTTCAGCAGTTCAGGGTGTAAGTTTTAATAATTGATATAATTTAATTAATTAATTAGATTATTAATTAATTGTTTTTCTTATTTTATTCATTTTAATATTATTATTTAATATTATTTAATATAATTTAATATAATTTAATATTTTTAGTTTCTTGAGCGTGACATTTCAAAACGTTTAGGTTGTGGACCAAATGGATTTGCACTTATTCAAAGTCATCCTTTTTTCCGTAATATTGAATGGCCTGCACTTGAAACTAAAGGATTAAATCCAATTTTTCGTCCATCATCAGATAGAATCAATTTTGATGCCACATATGAATTAGAGGAATTACTTTTAGACGAACAACCATTGGAAGCTAAACCTCGTCGTCGAAGAAAACATAAAGAAGGTGAATGCATCGAAAAAGATGCACAATATCAATTAATTGAAGAAAAATTTAAACCATTTGATTACACAGTTTTCGAAAGATATGAAGGTTGGGTAGATCCAATTACGAGATGTGTTGCAGATCCACCGGAATGGGTCAAACCTGCAGCCGTTGAAGTTGCAAATCAAATGGAAAGAGAAAGTCATGATGGAATAAGAGTAGGATCTAGTGATCTAGCAGGAATATCGTTAGAAAGTGGAGTTCAAGTTTAATATTATTTATTTATTATTTTATATATAAGAACAATTCATAATTTAATTCATGCACTTATTTATTTTTGATTTATTTAGTTTTTATTTTGTTAAAATTTAATTGTTAAAATTTAATTGTTATATATACATGATTCGTTGAAAAAAAAAAGGATTCGAATTCCTTATTAGAGAAATCCATAATATCTCTTTTTTTTTAAAAAAAAAAAATCAAATCATTGCAGATCAAAAAAAAAATGAATTTACGAATTCCTAACCGAAACACTGCAAAGGTTGCAATGGTAAATGTTAAAAACTATTTCCACCAGAGAATTTGGAAATTAAGTGTATAGAAATTCGATGATTATATAGAACATAAAATCTTTTTGTCTAAGTACATTTTTTACTATATTTCAAAGGATTAATGAATAAATAAAACTTTTATTTCCATTAATTCATAAAAATAAAATTTTTGAATACCAAATATATTTTTTTTTTTCATGCATGTTTAAATATATTGATATATTAACATATTATACGTGTAATATACTATGATATACTATAATATACTGTATTCTGTATTCTAAATTAAATCAAAAATTTTATTGAGACAAAAAAAAATAATAAAAGTAGATCTATAGAACATATCTAAAAAAGAAAAAAAAAAAAAACTTTTTTTTTTTTTTTTCAAGAAAGTTCTTCTCTTACCTCATTAAAAAGACAATATTAAAAGCAAAACAGTAAATTCTCAAATAATTATCTTCACATATTATTATCATTATTTATCATACCAGACAATCCCAACGCATTTCCTACTATATTATTACTACCATAACCAGTATTAATTCCAATATTGTTATTATTAACAACTCCATTATTATTCATCATTCCATTATTATTACTTGGATATCTCATCATTCCGTACGCATTAGCAGGACCAAATCCTGCTGCACCGCCTGATATTCCATTATTCCCACCTCCTATAAATCCTGGAAATCCAACATTTTGTAATTGTTGAAGTTGTTGTTGTTGTTGTTGTTGTTGCTGTTGTTGCTGTTGTTGTTGTTGTTGTTGTTGTTGTTGCTGTTGTTGCTGTTGTTGCTGTTGTTGTTGCTGTTGAGGAATACCGTATTGATCATTTAAACCAATTATTGATGGTAACATTCCTGTTGTTTGTCCATTATTACCACCATTATTACCATTGCCATTACCCGCACCACCACCATTTCCACCATTACTAATATTATTACCATTACCACCACTAGTGTTAGGACTACCACTTATTGGCATACCTCCTAATCCAACTAATGGTGGCAACACTTGATGATAAGAATGTTCTTGATTTGCTGCTGTAATCATTGAATTCATTGGATTCATTGAATATTCGGGAATATTATTAGCAACCATATTTTGTTGTAAAGAGGATGGATGTTGTTGATATGATGCCATTGTGACTGATGGTAACATTGAATTCTGATATCTATTTGTTGCTGCAGATTGTTGAGGATGAATTTGTTGTGATGACGGTTGTTGATGTTGTTGAGAATGTATATTTTGTTGTTGAGAATGTGGATTTTGTGGTTGTTGAGGTTGTTGTTGAGGTGGTTGTTGTTGAGGTTGTTGAGGTGGTTGTTGTGGTGGTTGTGGTGGTTGCTGTGGTGGTTGTTGTTGTTGTTGCTGTGGCGGTTGTTGTGGTGGCTGTTGTGACGGTTGTTGTGATAGTTGTTGTTGACGCATTTGTTGATGTATTTGTTGAGATTGTTGTGGTATTTGTTGCGGTATTTGTTGTGATATTTGTTGTGACATTTGTTGTGGAATTTGTTGTGGCATTTGTTGTGGCATTATTTGTTGTGGCATTTGTTGTGACATTTGTTGTGGCATTTGTGTAGATGGTGGTTGAGAAGGCGGTTGTAATGATGATGATTGTTGCTTTTGATACATTTGTTGTTGATATTGCGAAGATGACATCATTGATCCCATTGATGAACCTACTTTATATTGACGAGGAGATGACGATGTATCTAATGTTTGGTTGGAAAAGGAAGCATTATTATTGGTTGCATTTAAAGGCAAAGTGGTATTTACTGGACGATGGTGAAATTTTTTGTGATTAGAGAATGCTTGTGCAGCTTTTTGAATAAGATTGTTTAGATTTTTTCCATATGATCCACGTGGTGGAGGCAATGGGTTTAAATCAGGAATAACTTTTGGCTTTATTTCCTACAGAAAGAAATTAAATTATCATTATTATTATCATCATTATTATTACATATAATTATTATTATTATTATTATTATTATTATTTACATTTCGAGGGTTACCAGTATATTCATCAGCCACTGTCGCAAGATAAGACAAATTTCCTTGAAGACGAGTTTTATACCTTTTAATTGAAATTTAATTTAATTATTGAAAGAATTATTTGTATTAAAAAAAAAAATTAATTTTAAATTTTTATTTACTGTAATAATTCTGGTTCATAAAGCCAATCGCTAGTGTTATAATCGATACAAACTCGGATCAATTCAAAATTGATTTCCAATATCTAATTAATTTAAAATTTGATCAATAAGAATAAATCAATTTAAATCAATATAATTAATTAATAACGTACCGCTTGTACACATTTTTGAGTAGAATCAACTTTAAATCGGAATGAAGAAAATTCAAAATAACGCGAAATAATGAAATGACATAAAATAATATAAAATAAAATTTAGTAACAAATCCTTTTTGAGAAAAAATATTTTAAGAAAGGCACTCACTCACCATATTCGGGTGATCTATTGTTACCATTTATGTTTATGTTTATATGAGATGTGTTATTGGTGACATTTTTCATAGTACTCTCTACACCAAGTTTACTTTTAGAGTTTCTTATATTCGAACCAACAACCGGAGTATTTTGTATTTGTATAAAATTATTATTTGCGTTTGTTTCCATACTAGGTGTAGGATAGGCATTTTTGGCGGGAGAAGAAAGGTTATTAGGGTTCATTGAAGTAGATGTTAAAATATTTGAAGACGTTGTTTGTTGTTCAGGTATGGCCCAAGAATAAGTAGAAATGTTTTGTTGACCATCATAACCTGTACTGATCTGTTGAGGATCAACTGTTGTATAAGCATTAGTGCCGTTAGACTGAAAATATGCTGAAGTAAAGTCATTATTCATTTTTCCTAAAACACGTTTTTCTACTGTTCTTAATTACGCAAAAGGTTACACTTCATACATTTGATTATTTAAGAGAAAACTTTGTTCTAGGTTACACCATGCAAGTCTAAAAATACATAATTCACGTGTGTGTTACTTCAAAAAGGGAAATTTTTTTTAAAACAGAAGAAATAACGACATATGATGCAAGTAAACAATATGATACAATATAACAATGACAAACGAATGTACCAACAAATACTGGAAATTGTCTTAATGTCACGTGAATATTATCCCATAACTCGTAATCGATTCCTCAATCTTATCAATATGATCTTTTCAACTTGTGGTCGTTTTTCTCCAACAATGTCAATGTAAACTCGCAGAGTCGCAGTTCTTATTTATCACATGAAGTAATTGCGCTAGCGAAGTTTTATATCAAAAAATGTTTTTACGTGATCATAGTAATGAACTTTACTGCTTTCATTATTTAATGTGGTTTAGTTACGAGACGTCATGTACATTACTTTATTATTATTGAAAAAAAAATTTTTTGGAAAAATGTTTTTTTTATTTAGATTTTTTTATTATTAAATATACTATAAAAATTTAAATTTTCCTTTATACCCAACATTTGTGGCTTGGTGGTCTAGTGGTATGATTCTCGCTTAGGGTGCGAGAGGTCCCGGGTTCAATTCCCGGCTAAGCCCAGGTTAACGCCTTCACATTTTTCTTTTTGAGAATGATGAAAGAAACTAAGCGAATATATCTAATTGATGATCGATAAACCGAATCTTTAATGTTGATCATTTTATCCTGTATAATTTTACTAAATTTACTGTAATTTCAAAAAACACATAAAATTATATATTTGAATCAAAAACTTTCTCTACTTTATTATTTTTTTTTTTACTCCAACAATAACGCCCACGGTTATGAAAACAATTTTATATAATTAAAAAAAATTTTATATTGTATTATGATATTAATTAAACATAAATGAAAAGAGGGGGAGTAGACTAGAATCTAGTCGACTCCTCTTTTCATTTAATTAAATAACCACGATATAATTTATTTTATGCATTTTATTCATTTGTCAATTATTAACTTTCATATTCTTCAGGAGGACCAGAAGAAGGAGGAGGAGCGTTGAAATCTTGAACTGGTGATGTAGGAATATCAACAGGTGGTCGTTGGAAGTCCTCGGATGTAGGATGTGTGATCGTAGTTTCCTCTTTGGGTTCCTATTAAATGAGAAAGAAAAAAATAAATAATTGAAATTTGTAAAAATATTCTTTTTGAATAATTAAAATTGTTAACATACCATGATGGTGACTAAATCTGGTAATGGATTCTTTGGTCCAACTTTACCAGATGGATCCCATTCCTAAATCGAGAATCGAGTCCATAAATTTATTATAGAAGTATATAAGTATATAAAAAAAATGATATATATTGATTGACGTATAATGTGTAATTATCCTTACAAGCATAATCTTTACTTTAATACCCAGCACTCCTTGTCTCAACATTACGTGTCGAACAGCGGTGTCAACATAATCTCGAATTGGTTGACCGGAATGAATCATGAATCCATCGACAAACTTCATGGATTTAGCACGTGCAGCTCGAAGTTTTCCTGATACGACAACCTCACAACCTTTAGCGCCTGATTCCATAATGAAACGTAAAACACCATAGCATGCCCTGAATATATTTATATATATTTTTTATATATAACATGTCAAAGAATAAAAAAATAATAATTAAGATCCTGAATTTATAAATTCCACGAAAAATGGGATCGAAATGATGTTGATTAATAAAAATAAATTTTTTCTAAAAATTGTTTTATGAGATATTAAATTTACCTTCTAACAGCAAGACCTGCTAATAATTTATAACGAAGTGATTCACATTGGGCAATTGCACAAAGTCCACGATTTTGTACTTTTTCGGCATACAATTCAACAGTATTCTCGGGAAATTTGAATCTTTTTTGAATAAGAGCAGTAAGCTCACGAATTCTACGTCCCTTCTCACCAAGAACATCTTGAGTATGAGTAGCACGAATAATGATTTCTGTACGTGCCGGCGTCACGCGGACTTCTACTCCAGAGTAACCTTCTTCGGCCAGCTCACGAGTGAAGAATTCATTGAGTTCGGCAAAGAATACACCGTCAGCAACAAACTATAATGTAGTTTGATTTTAAATTTGTGATAGATCGAGAATTGTTAATAATTATGATATTTCGACCTTTGATTTATATTATTATATTTTTATAATCCCTCGGGTAAAATATCTTAAAAAGTATCGTTATAAAATTAAAGATATTAATTGTATTTCAAACTTTATTAACGATTTTTCCCAATCCAACCATTTCTAACCATTCATTATGTGAAGTCCAAAATTATTGAATACTTTACTTTTCTTTTTTTCGAGATTTGACTGGACATTATGTTTAACGCAAAGTTGGAAGGAAAAAAAAAATCTCGTTAATTTTGCCCTTAAAAAAATTATAAAATCACGCTATTCTTATCTTATCGTATTAATCTTATCAATATTATCAATAAATCAATAAAAAACAATTTTATTTGGCATTCTTTAAATTTTAGGTTAAAAAAAAATGAATTCGGCAAAATTCAGAAATTCCACAGATCCTATTGCTCCACATGCAGAACGTTTAATTAATTATATGAACACTCACCCTGATACTATTTTAGGTTATGCAAAGTATTATGGGGATTCGAAAGATACCCAAAGTGCACGAATGACAGATATTGATTCTAATGGATTTATCGTGATGGCTAAGGATGCTAACGGAAAAGAAGCGGAAGTTCATATTCGTTTCAAAAATCGGTTAAAGTCGAGTGAAGAAGTCAGGCCAGTACTTACTGAAATGGCTCGAGAAGCAGAGGAAGCATTGAATTTGGTACACGCATTTTTCAAATATCAATATGAATGTAACTTTATTTTCGAGAAATTTTTTTTTTTAAAATATAATTTTCAAATTATAATATCAGCCTAGTACATTACCACCAAATAATAATACAACTACACGAAGTTCATCTACACATACTCCATTCAATCATCCGCATATAGCAATATATATTGGACTTTTGGGATTTCTTTATTTTCATTATCTTGTGATTTTTCATCCTTCTCCTCCTGAATTTGTTGAATATGTTAAGTCAACAATTGATCCCCAGTTTTTCGTGTATATTCTCTATGTTATTCTCGTTATTCATTTATTTGAAACTACAATAGTAGTGATTGTATTAACATTGAGAGGAGAGAAGGACATACTAACATGGTTATTATGGATAACAAGTACTTTAGCAATTGGGCATTTTTGGTTTTTATGGATTCCCAAGAAAGAAAGAAAAAAAATACACTGAATAACTTCATTTATTAGACCAAAACAGTAAATCACTATCATATTTCTTTTTTTTTTAATACTTTAATTTCTTTAAATAATCATCTTTAAACTATCAGTTATTTATTTTTCCAGAGAGAGAAAATATTATTTTACGAATTCATGATTACAATCACGAAAACAATGCATTTTTATTGGATAATGTATACTTTTATATATTATGTTTGCAGATTTGATAATGATGAATTATTTGAAAGTATTGTAAGAATAAAAGAAACTGATGACATTCTTAACGGTAAAAAAAACGCGAACAAATAAAAAATTTTTTTTTCTTTGAAATTTGAAAATTGTAAATGAAAATGAATAATAAACATCGATAATTTAAATCATAAATATCAAAAAAAAAACGATGTATATATATTATATAAATGTAGAAATTATAGAAATTATAGAAATTATAGAAATTATAGTAATTATAGAATTGGTTAAATATAAATATGTGAGTGAATTTTTTTTTTTTTTATATAATTTCTTTCGATTACTGTTCATTACTGGAGAGCATCCAATTTCATTCTATATTCATTCCATGCCCACCATTCTTGTGTCCACCCTTTAGCCCAAACAACTCCAAGGTAAACTGGATTTCCTTCGTTACTTACATTATTCTTTACATTAATTACACCGTTATTTTCCTTAATCTCTTCCTTATTATCATGATCTTGATTTAATTCTCCATTTACTCCATTGACACTATTTTCATTGTTAATATCATCGGAAGATTTATCCAATCTAAAAACAAATTCTTGAGCATATACAACTAAACCTTTGCCTCCGGATAATCGAAACATATCATCTAAAGTCTTCACTCTCTGATTATAAGGTTCTACAAGAGAAGCAATGTCCATACCAGTAATTTGAACTCCATCAATTTCTAAACGTATCCCATTCAATGTGTCATGCATATTTGAATTAAGTTTTCTCGAAAGTTGAATATGAGAATTTTCGCCACAAATGTCGTCCAAAACTTCCATTGCTTTTTGATCTTGTGCATTAAGAAATTTTGTTTGAAAAATTATGGAACCATCCGAAATTTCAATAGTAAGAACTGCTCCTGTAAAGAATTCTATGGTTGAAGATCCATCGAGTTTAGATTTGATAAAATCTTTATGAATAAGTACATCACGCAGTGACAAAAGGATCTTATCTGCTGATGTGAATGGATCTTTGTAACTTAACGGTGAGGGTGTTTCGGCTTGAAGAAGTTGTTCTAATCGGTCTAATCCATAAAATCGGGCATCCTCTAATAAACTTTCTCGAAATAAGTCAAGAGACATTCCTTGTGGTAAGTTTACTGAAGATAATGGAAATATGGTATAACCTCGAAGATATCTCAAAATAACCTCAAAAAGTCTAGGATCTCTATCAATAGTTATTTCTTTAACAGTAGAATTCGAAGAAAAATAAGTTTGTGTACTAGTACTCATTCTTGCCTTATTAATTTTATCAAGAGTTTTATAATCATTGTTGATATTAGACTCAGTGTTAGAATCATTCTCTTTTCCTTTATTATCCAAAACAGTACTCTTTATATCAGTCGAAGAAACTGACAATGAGGTTACGTTATCTTCCGGAGAGTTGCTTATTTCAGTTTCACCTGAAGTTTCTTCTTCACTAAGAAAAGTTTGAGTAAAAAAGTTTGGAGAGTCAAAGGTTACCGATGAGCGATATAAACGAAACGTTTGTTCGCCAACGTGCACAATATAAGAATTCATAATGGGATTAGCTGATTGAGGGATAGGAGAATTATCATTAATGTTTTGTACGGGCGACATTGGTTTTTTGATAATATAAATCAAATATATTTAAAGAAACAGGTTTAGAAAACTTGATACGTGGCAACCTAATTTGATCACCTTGAGATTTGTCATACAAAGAAAATATATCAAAGAATTTAATTCTTGGTCGGTGCGCTGTTCATCTACAAAATCCTTTTTTTTTTATTTTTATACGTACACGAGCATTACACGAACCCCAACTTCTGTGATCTTTTACAATCTAAAAATAAATTAAATAAATGCTCACAAATATTAATGGTAGGACAAATATATTGACATATGCGAGATTAAGTTAAATCTTGGGGCATAAAAAATTATAAAAATTTAACCATGTGGTGTTTGCAATCCGGATTAACGGATTATCCGGATATTTTTCCGTGCAAAACATTCAAAGAATCAATGGATTGATCAAATAACTGATAACATTACTCTTGATTTTTTTTTTTTAGATGAATTTTTTGTTCTTTAAAATCCATATCTACTCACTCTAAACTTGGGCACTATTTGATATGAATATTACACCTAATTCAACTGTTGAAGACATTGAGAAACACAGGTCAAACATAAAAGATGGTGCAAATAGGAATTTCAATTTTAGCTGATTTATAATATAAGCTAAAATAGGACAGTATTATCAATTTGTTTTCTTCTTGTCTATATATTTTCTACTTTTATTTGTCACCACTCTCTTTTTCTTTTATTTTCACTACCAGAAATAATATAATTATATTATTTCTGGTTATTCTAAGTTATACCTGATCAGATATGTGTCATGATTCATTTTTTAGGACATACTCGAAGGTGTTGTGATTCATTTTTTAGGACACACTCAAAGGTGTCATGATTTATTTTTTATAATACACTCAAACTGTTATATATCAGGTTAGCAGTGTTACAGAATGAAATCGTATATAGTATATAATACTAAAAACACCTGCAATAATATTAGATAATAGTAATATTTAAAATTCAATTAGTAAATGTTAATTTATTTAATGAATGATGATATTTTAATAACATTTCAACTAATATTTATATCTAGTATGGTGTGAAAGTCTAAAAGCATCCAATTTTTTAAACTACTAAAACTTTGTATTCAAATATGAAATCAAAAAAAAAAAAAATACATTATTTGATAGCTCTAGATTAGCTCTTCAATTTAATGTATTTTTTTTACTATGATTAATAAAAATTTATTAAGTAGTTAATCTGTAAAGTATGACAATTGTAATAATAATGGTGAAATTTTCAGTGATCTGAATTTAGAGTGTGATGATTGGTTATATTTCAAATGAAATTATGAGTTTTCACTATTGTTATTGTGTAAACATTTGTATGAAACAAAAAAGTTAAATTGATGAAATTTTTTTTTATTTAAAGAATGACAAAAAGAGAAAACATTATTTTTTATTTAATAAAAAAAAAATTCAAAAAATAATCCTATTTTTAGATAAATTTTTATTTTTTTTTATTATTTTATATGACCAAGCTCTTCCAAAATACTCTCAGGAACATAATAGTATGACTTGTATTTTTTCACTACAAAGACAGCAGCTTTTTTCAAAAGACCTTGTTCATATACACTCATATATCAGTTAAATTAATATGCAAATTGGTAAATTTTTATTAAGAAAACAGAATCTAATACTTGTGAAATAATTTTTTTAAGATTCCTAAAAGTATAATCACAACATGAATATGTATACCACTTTGTATCCCCCCAAAATGACTCTGTAAAATTGAGTTTATAATGAAATTTGAAATAAAAAATATACATATGCCCAGCTGCTTCAATAATTTCTTGCAAATGATTTTTTTGCTATACAAAATTGAATTATTAACTAAAAATACAGATTGCACAATATTGTAAATTCGTTAGATCAGTTTCATGTAACTTACATAAATTATATTTTTTTTTAACTCCAGTATCTATAAGTTATACTCTTCAAGAATTTGTCAAATTCTTTTTGATTTTATTATTCCATCCACATTTACAAATGTCATAATATGAGAAGATCCATTAGGCATTCTACCATCACGAAGAAGTAATTGTTTGTTTTCATCTTTTAAATTCATCCTTGAAATTATTAAGGTATCATTGACATATGAATTATAATTACTACTATTGTTAAACATAAAAAGTGTGACTTTTCTAAGATGTGTTTTTTTAAAAATCAAAATGTCTCATTCAACTACTTGTTTTATTAGATCTCGATTTGTTCACTAGTCATTTCAATTAAAATTTAAATATATGATTATACAAGCTTCAGAATATTTAAGTTAATAATCATCAGGAAACAAATCATTTGTAACTTAATCCTCTTCTAAAAGATGAAGATGTCCAATTGATTTACAAATAAAGTTACTAACATGGATACTAAATTCTTGTGACTTATGCCAAAATTAATTTTCTTCTGTTGGACCTCATATTTTAACAATACTATCATTGGTATAAAAAATTGATTCATCATGGATAATCAGAACAAATTCATGAATATTAGGTAGAAGTATTGGCAAAATAATTTTTTCATATTTTCTTCTTTGTACGTTACAAATCAGAATTGCAAATTAACCATTTGTTCAAAAAATTTATTTTGATAAGTCATTACATCATTACGTTCATGACCATTGAAATAAATATTTTTGAATAATTTTTATAATCCCATTCAAAATTATATAATCAAGTTCTTGTAGTTACCTCAGAGATTTTCTTTTGTCTCAATTCCTAAAGTAAGTATAATCTCCTTCTCAATGAACTTTATAAATTGGTAAATGGTCAAAGTAAATTTATTTGTATGCAAATATTTGAGAATGCATAATTTGAAATCTTTATGATATAGAAATAACTTGATTTGTATGATATTCATAATGTAATATATAAATTTCATTATTACTGAGCTATTGATTGACTTACAAATAAATAACCTGTGCATGCCATGAACTTCTATTTACATTACAAGTCAAAAACTTGCTAGTTAAAAGTTTAGAAAATTTTTTGTCTTGAATAAGATAAAGAAATTAATTCACTATGTGAAGTTACATATTAGAATTTTTTTTTAACAAGATATTAAGAGATATCAAAGTAAATTTATCATCATTATCACTAGAATTTATTACTTTATCAAATAGAAGCTCACAATTATTATAACTTGATTTAGTTATATCATTAATGGAGATTTCACTAGAAAACCAAGTAATAATCTTGTTTAAACCCGGGGTTGCCTTTTTCCAGATTACTCTTTTATTATATAATGTTAATTTAACATAATCAGTATAAAATTGTTTTTGTCTTTTTATTTTTCATGTGTCTAGTTGTTGTGCATTATTAATAAGTTTATCAAATATGTTCAGTTCTACTCTGCTTAATTCTTTTACAAATTAATTATTATCCACAAGTTTATATTCATTTCTGTTTCCTTGTTAAGTAGTTTTAAAATTAAATTTGTTATACTCAATATTTGAAACTTCTGTGTCAAATTAATTCCACTACTTTTTTATAGTTGCTAAACAGTATTTAAAACATTTGTTATATCTTGGCATGTTTAAAAAAAAAGATAATTAATTTGCATAATAAATTAAGATAAATTATTCTTTAAATAAATAATCCCTTAAATTCCTTAAATAAATAATAATAAAAATAACTTAAATAAATAATATAAAAATATTTTAAATAAATAAATAATAAAAAATATCTTTAATGACAAAATTAAGACAAACTCAAATATCAAAAAAAAAATAAAATTTTTATAATTCTCTTTTTTTTTTTTTATTGAATTTTATATAAAATTTTTTTGTACCTTCAGCAAGCTACTCATATGAAAATCATATAACCTATTAATCATTAAATTTCAGCAGTAACTTAATATTTAATGTCTTTAAACTTTCGATATCATATAAGTATATTTTTTAATATTAAATTTTTAAATTTAATTTATTAATTAAATAATATAATTCTTGAGATTACAAATAATAAAATTTAATTTAATTTTATTTAATTTTTAAATATTATTTAATTTATTAATTTAAATGATACATCAGGAAATTTTTAAAGGCAAAATATTTCGAAAATTTTTGCCTCGTTAAATTTTCGGAGTTATATGACACCTTCGTAAATTTTCGAAAAAATTTTCGAAAATTTTCGAACCGTAAATCTCTGGAATTTTTTGTTTCATTTATTTTCGAAAATTTTTGCATATATTTTCATAAATCTCCGTTTATTTTCGAAAATTTTTGCATATATTTTCATAAATCTCTGTTTATTTTTGTAGATATTTGCGAAATTATTATAACAGTATATTTGAGATTTACATACAAAACATTTTGATATTTTACAGATTTTTCCGAAACTAAATAGTTATTTGTGAAAATAAAATGCATATTGTAACGATATTATTATTGAACGTTAATTGTTTATTAATTTTATTGATTTAATAAATTTTCGGAATATTCTATTACATAAATGTTCAGAATATTCTATATAATTAATAAATTTTCAGAATATTCTATTACATAAATTTTCAGAATATTCTATATAATTGTATACATTATTATATATATATTGTTTTTATTATTCTTCATCATCTTCATCTTCATCTTCGTCGTCGTCGTCGTCGTCGTTGTCATCATCGTCATCGTCGTCATCGTCATTGTCATCATCGTCGTCGTCACCTTCATTATCTTTATTACCTTTATTTGTTTTTCTTTTTTTATTAATAGTTTCGTATGCTTTCTTTAATGCATTTGTTCGAATTTCTGCAAGTGAGGGTATCACATCATCAATATCCTCGGGTTTATTTTTTCGTTTTTTTCTAGCTTTTTCCAAAGATGGAGAGACTGAAGGCGAAAAAAATAATTCTTGTACATCCTCCTCCGCTTCAATTTCAATTTCTTTATTTGCTATTTTAGCCTATGTTTTATTTAATTAGTATTTTTCGGAATTATTCGAAATGAAAATAGCACTGTGAAAAACTTACAATATTTTTTCTAAGAAGAAAATCAATTATTTCTTCTGACACACTGATTTCTCCATTATCGGGGTTCAATAATACTTCAGCGATTGATATTGCCCAAGCGGTATGCAAGTCGGATGCTTCCGTTTTCGGCCAAACTTTTTCTATTACTTGCGTCATATAGGTCGGGGAGTTTTCATCATTATTAATATTTTTAAAAAGACTATTGTAAGCTTTAGAAACAGTCGGGTGGCTTTTCCACAAGGAGATTTCATCTGCTTTCGCTTTGTTTTTTATTTCAGGTAAACAAAAAACATAAAAAATTGCCTTTTTTATACGGGTTGATAGTGTTCCACGTTTACTTCGTAATTTTACGGTTAACTATAACATTATACATTGAGATTAATAGATTTTCATATTATAAAACTCCACTTTTGCACTTACCTTTTTTCTTAATTTTCGTTCATAATACAAATTCCATCGACGGGAACCAAATGTATTATAAAATTCCCTATCATTCCGTTGTACGTATGCTGAGGTTGCTTCTTTATAATCCTTGAACGTCGGATAAATTTTTTTGGTTAATAGCTCCTTTGCAACGTTAGTGATCATTATCTATTTATATTAAAGTTTATTAATATTTAAAATATTACGTAATTTTTTAAACAAAATAAAAATTTATTACATCTATATATTCTTTGTCATTGGCTGCCATACTAATTTTTAATTTCGAAATATCTTCCGCCATTAATTTTTGGTCAGCTCTTAATTCTTCGACTACCTTCTGAATTTCAACTATTTTTGAAAATAGTTTTCTGCTCAATGCTAGAGTTATATAAAATAAAAAAAATAAAAATAACGTCTCACTTTGAAATAATAATAAACAATATTTTAATTTAATATTTAACATTTATTACCATCATTTTGCGGTACGTTTTTTCTCATGTTTTTTCGATTTCGACTCATTTTTTACAAAAATATACGAAAAATAGGGAGAAATGTATGGAAAAAAGCGAAAAAATTGAGAACAGTGAAAGGAGTGGGAAAACATTTTCGAAAGAATGAGAATATTAAAAAGAATGTGAAAGTAGGAGTAAGAGTAAGTTTTCGAAAAAATGCGAAAGTAGGAGTAAGAGTAAGTGTAGGGGTATGAAAAGTTATTCAAACAAACAAAATAAACAAACAAAATAAACAAAATAAACATAATAAACCTGATCAATTTTGTGTTACATCAATGAGAATCCTGTTTATATTATAGAATATAACGAAAATAGCAATAAAGCAAATAAATTATACTTGTTTTCTTTGCTACATTTATATCATTTATATTACGCATTTAAACTACCATTCATTTTCAGAAATACATACATTTATTATAGAAAATGGCAATAGCCTTATATTCTTTTTATATCACAAAAATAAATTCTAGAAATAAGCTAGATCATGAAACTACTTTCGTATTTTCGGAAATACATGACATTTGTTATAAAAAATGGCAATAGCCTTATATTCTTTTTATATCACAAAAATAAATTCTAGAAATAAGAAGAATTAAACTAGATCATAAAACTACTTTCATTTTTATCACATTTTCAGAAATACATGATAGTTGTTATAGAAAATGGCAATAACCTTATATTCTTTTTATATCACAAAAATATAATTCTAGAAATAAAGGATTAAAAGGATTCGAATACATTCGAATAATTATTGATAATAACAATAAATATACATTTGAAATTTTGAAAAAAATATATAAAGTGTTGTGAAAAAGAGTGCTAAAAGTATTAAACTAACTTTGAAAAAATTGAAAAATATCAAAATTGAAAAATGTTTACAGCTAACTTTAAATGTCAATATTGTCCTCGTTCTTTTTCGAGCCGTAATGCATATGCCCAACATGTAAATCTATGCATTGTTAAGTATGATATTAGTACAGAAGAATCCAACGATTCCAACGATTCCAACGATTCCAACAATGAAGTTTCGGAAATAATTTCAGAAGTCACTGATATGGTAGTAGATAGTGAAGATAATGAAAACAATGAATTTAGTGAATATAGTGAAAATAGTGAAGATAATTTAGATAGTGAAAGACAAGAAGAAATGACGTCAAGTTCCGAAATGAGAGAAAATTCACAAGATCTTCAAGAGTATGATGGTGATGTTTCATTAATATCACTTTCAATTTCGGAAAGATACGAAAATTTACCTTTGAGTTTACGAAGTTTTGAAGAAGAACCCGAAATTAAAAATGTTAAAGAATTTCCAAGTGAAGCTTACGCCGACTTGATGACTCTTGTTACTAAACATAATCTAAATAATCAAACTGGCAACGAAATTATAAATTTCTTTAACAAGCATTCTAATTTATCTATTTCTCCCCTTCCTAAAAATATCCTTGTTGGTCGAAAATTCATGGATGATATGAATTTATCACACTTAGCTAATTATAAACATCGTATACTTGTTCATAATGATAATGAATATTTTATACACTATTATCCAATCAAAAATTGTATTGAAAATCTTCTATCAAATTCGGACATAATCGAACATTTTGCATATGATTACGAAGATTTGGCGATAAAATTTTAAAATTTTTTAAAAAATTTGTATATTTTTACTTTAAAATTAATATAATTAATATTTACATATTATCATAGACCAAGGGGGAGAAATTATATGGGGAGCAAAATTCCGGAAATTGGTGGAAACATGCAGAAGGTTCAATTCCACCTTTAGCACATATTTTGTCAATCATTCTCTATTCGGATGCTACTACACTCGACACATTAGGAAAGAGTTCATTACACCCCATTTACATGTCTCTTGGTAATATTCCAACGTGGCGGAGAAATAAGGAAGATGCTAAACAATTATTGGGTTATTTTCCAATTTTATCTGCTAAAGATGAATCAGAAAAAAAATCTTCCGAATTTAAGAAATTAGTTCGCGAAACTTTTCACAATACATTAAAATTCTTACTGGAACCTCTATTCGAAGGTGATAATGGTATCGATTTTAAAGTCAACGGTGATACTATTTGGTTTTTTCCAAGAATTTCTATGATAATTTGTGATTGGCCGGAAGCCTGTACTTTTTCGTTAACTTATAAATCAACCAATTCAAAATATCCTTGCCATTTTTGCTTGGTACCAAGGGACAATTTGGCAAATACAAATTTAAATATAATACTTCGTAGCCATGAAAATATGATGGAGTATTACAATAATAAGACAGAAAATTTTGCAAGTTTAGAACCAGTATATAATTACTTTTGGGATATTCCGTAAGTATTTAAATAATAATATTTTATTTTATATTATTGGGGTACATTTTAATTTTGCATTTATATAAATTATTAGAGATATAAATATTTATGCAGCTACTGTCCCTGATAGAATGCATCACCTGGACTTAGGCTTGTATCACTATCAAATAGAGTTTACCAAAGAGATATTGAAAGAGGGTAAATCTTTAATCGACAAATTTAATTGGAGAATAACAAAAATTCCAAGACATCCGGGTTTAAAGATTTTTTCGGGAGGGTTACAATCAATAGCGCGATTAACCGCAAATGAATATAGAGATTTGATGAAAGTGATGGTATTTGTTGTTGATGATTTATTACAAGATAAAAATCTTTCGAAAGTCTACGTGAAATGGAATGAAATGTATTTGATGAGTCGATTGGAAACGTTTAAAGAAAGCGATCTGCAAAAATTTCAGGTAAAAATAATTGCCCCCCGGAGCGTAGCTAAAAAAAATAAAATATTAACTTATTTAATTATATAGAAAGCGATTAATGATTGGGCCGATCTATTCATTAAATTATTTCAAAAATTTTCGCTTTCTAAATTGAAATTTCCAAAACTACATTCGTGGATTTATCATATCGTTGATACAATTCGAGAATACGGGGCGATAAATGGGTATACTACTGAGACATATGAAAGCTTACACAAAACTTATGTAAAAAAACCATATCGTCTCAGTAATAAAAAAGATGT